ATTTATTCTTTCAGTTCTGTTGTGGTAAAAATGAAGATGGAGGTACATTCACGGAATCCATTGGAGTCCCTTTGGAATAGAGCTGTCAGCAGCTTCACGTCTTGATCTTTTATGAGGCATGTTGTGTCCTTGACTAAGAAATGTGTTTCCCCATGTGTCTGATAAAGTAAACATCTGTGATGCTAAAGGCATAGTGCCAGGCACATCTGTGTCCATAGACAATGCTGGTAAATTAAGGGCTGCTCTGGATAATGATTGACCTGCCACAAAGTTCATTTGGTGTCATTCATTTTATTGGGGGGATATTTTTTTCCTGGGTATTTGATTATTTATTTACCTGTCTCAAATTTTTCTCTCTCTACTGATTATTTTGTGAATGAACTAAGCTTTCTGTTCTCATAGAAGGTCATTTGGATATTGTTTCCTTCACTGAAACTTCCCTACATTTATGATTTCCACAGACATAGCAAGACAAAACCTGCAAGTGTTTCTCTATTTAATGGCTAAGATAAGAAGTGTGGGGGTGAGAAGACTGAGGAAACGAAATGTTTTCAAATATCTTCATAACCTAGGTCGCAGTCACCATAGAAAAATATGAATTAGGTATTCAGGAAGAGGTTTTTCCCATATATTATCCATGATTTTTTTTGACTTAATGAAATTTCCTAGTCTGAGGAGGGATTCAAAGTACACAGATTCCAAACACTTGGATTTACGTGACCCTTGGTTGTATTTATAAACACATAAGTACTTAAAAATTATTTCTCCTAGTCATCCTGTTCTGTCAGAGGAGAGAATCTTTTCAGTGAGAGATGAGAGATCCCAGCAGGTTTTTGAGATCATGAGATTCACTAGATCATGGGAAATTAACTCATCTCTATGTGTAAATAAAATGCCAGACATTATGGTTTCCTCCAGTTTGATAAACAAAACCAATAGTTGCCTTGAGATTCTTGTTATCTATGAGTAAATGGCTAACCTAGGGCTAATAGGAGCTCATTTTTTTTCATGTATAATAGTTTGAGATACTAAAATAAGAATCACTTTTATTTCTGAAATATTTATATTGTTTCCTATATAAACTTTAAAGTTTTTGGGATCCCTGGATGGCGCAGCAGTTTGGCGCCTGCCTTTGGCCCAGGGCATGATCCTGGAGACCTGGGATCGAATCCCACGTCGGGCTCCCGGTGCATGGAGCCTGCTTCTCCCTCTGCCTGTGTCTCTGCCTCTCTCTCTCTCTCCCTGTGTGACTATCATAAAATAAAAAATAAAAATAAAATTTTTTAAAAAAAATAAACTTTAAAGTTTTTATTGATGTATACATTGACATTTATAGTTTCCTAAAGAAAACAATAAAAGGCAATTCTCAGTCTAACAAAATACAGTATGCAATACCATGTATATTATAAAAAATACAAATAAGCAAATATTAAAATCAAATGTTTTCTTTGAATAATTTTTTTCAACATAATTTTTACTGGTTGCATAATACATTTTATTGATGTTGAATCTTAATTTATATCAAGTAATATTGTGTTGATAACCTCCAGATTGCTATTGTATTAGTAAACTGACATGCAAGTTTGGAGTTTTTTTTTTTTTTCTTTAGAACAATACTGTAAATGGTAGGTTGTTTTCTAAGTGAACTCCCTAAATTTTAATTGGTAACCTGTTAGGCAGCTAAGCTTCCCTGATGGACAAATAGTACTCCAGTGTTTAAACCATAGGATCTGCTTATTGCATTACTTCCTTGGAAATCTCTGTAATCCAGTCAGCACCTGGCATGGTGTCAGACATATTGGGTACCCAGCAAAATCTGAATGGGAGTTGGGATTCCCTCTCTGCTCAGGTTGTTCTGGCTAGAGCATCCAAGGACAGATGGTGTTTACTTTTTTTGGACTGTGTGTGGTGGCAGGGAGGGCACATTGCATAGCAGGATTCCCTCATCATCTATATCTTTGGCAGTTCTCCATAATTCGGCTTTAGCTTTGATAAAATGAAGTTCTGGAAAGAGGCTTTATCCCTGGCAAAGTTGAGGGAGAATGGGAGAAGGCAAAGGATAGATTGAACAACAAACTTGACCTAATGGACATTTGTGTAAAAAACGACGACAAAAATCTCTATCCAGGAGCAACAGAACACACATTTGTTTTTAAGTACACAGCATTTATCATGTTCTGGGCCATAAAACAAGTAAATGAAGGGCCTTTTTTTTTTGTTTGTTTAGAAGTTAAGCATATACCTACCCATATCATTCAGTCCTTTCACTGCTAGGTATTTAAGAAGAAAACCTACATCCCTACAAAGACTTTGACAGATTGATGAAAGGAATTCTCCTAGCTATTTTACTTGGAAAAGCCAAAAACTAGGAATAACCCAAATGTCCTATTAAGTTAATGGATAAATGAACTGTGGTGTATCCATGTAATAGAATACTAAGTATAATAAAAAAGGAATAGATAATACACACAATGTTGAATGAATCTCAAAATAGTTACCAAAAAAAGGGCTAAAAGCCAGACAGAAAAGATACATACTGTATGGCTCCATTTGTATAAACCTTTAGAACATATATACCAATTACAGTGGCAGAAATCAGATCAGTGATTGCCCTGGGAATGTGGATGGTAGAACTATGGTGGCAGGAAACTTTGGGAGATGGTAGACAGGTTGATTTGATTGTTGTGATGGTTTCACAGACTAAACATCTCAAAAGTTACATGTAAACAAAGTGCAGTTTCTTAACACATTTGACTTGACCCACATGGGACCTAGGAAGCACTGATCCCCTGCATAGTCAAAAATCCACCTATAACTTTGGACTCCCTTAATACTTATAATAGCCTACTGTTGACTGGAAGCCGTACTGTTAACATAAATGCTTGATTAGCACATATTTTGTATAATACATACAATATTCTTACAATAAAATAAGCTAAAGAAAAGTTGTTAAAATCATAAGGAAGAGAAATACAGTACTGTACTGGGGGGAAAAGCTACCTGTAAGTGGACCCATGTAATTCTAAACTGTATTTAGGGATCGATTGTTTATCAATTATAGCACAATAAAGTTATCTAAAATTATGATTAACAATAAGGCTTTCATGATTCTGAGGCTGTTTATATCATCATAGTATTGGTTATACACCTGTATGCAAATGGCATGACATTTTACTCTATGCTGCATCAATAAAAGCACCTTGCTTATTTGTGTTTCTTTACGACTAGAATCAACTTGAAAGCATTAGAGTTCTAGAAAATCTCCCTTTTCACACTGAGTAAAATTCTTCTAGATTTATAGATGGTTAACAATTGAGCATTCAATTTTTCTTTAAGTAGCAGTATAATTTCTAATGAGGAACTCAATCGTGTATTAGCCTGGAGTAGAGAAGAGGAATAGAAAATGAAGGGGTAAAGTCAAGCTCAGAGAAACAGTAGAATGGTGGTTACCAGGGGATCAGGATAGAGGAAATGAGATGTTGCTCAAAGATTACAAATTTCCAGTTAGAAGTTGAAAAACCTAGGGGGAATCTAATGCACAACATTGTGTTTATAGCTAACAATACTGTATTATATACACTCAAAAGTCACTGAGAGGGCAGTCCTGGTGGCTCAGCGGTTTAGCAATGCCTTCAGCCCAGGGTGTGATCTTGGAGACCCGGGATCGAGTCCCACGTCAGGCTTTCCGCATGGAGCCTGCTTCTCCCTCTGCCTCTCTCTCATGAATAAATAAATTTTAAAAATCTTAAAAAAAAAGTCACTGAGGGTAGATCTTAAATGTTCTCACCACAAAAAAGAAATGGTTAGTTATGCGACATAGTAAAGGCAGTAGCTAACACTATGGTGGTAATCATTTTGCAGTGTATAAGTAATGAATCAATATGTTGTACATTTTAGTGTTATGTGTCCATTATATTTAAAAGTTTGGGGAGGGGGAGGGTGGAAATTTTGACTAAACGCACATGAAACATGCTAAAATAAGTAGAAAGAAAACATGGTGATAACTCCGTGATTTCTCCTTGCCTATTGATTGAAGACGAGATTCCTGAGCCAGTGATGTCGTTGGATTCTCAGCTGCTTGTTCGGTCTTGGTTCCCCCTTCTCCCAGATTACACCATACTATCTCCCCCTCTTCACTGCTTTGGTTAATGCTTTTCTGTGCCTCTGAGTCTTTTCCATTTCCCTTCAACCTTTATATATTTGTAGTGAAATTCATCCTAGTATTTAAGTTCCCAATCGAATGCTAACATGTTTTCTCTGATCCTCCCAAATGGAAGTGTGTCGTCTGTGTTCTGTATTTTAGTAGACCCTAATCGCATAATTGGTGTCTTAGGTCTTATGGGTATGGGTCAGTGAGGTTTTCCCTGCTATTCTGGAACTGAGCAGATGAACAGTTATGCATTTTGGCTACTGTTTTGGTGTGTTTGGGTTATTGAACTTTTACATGTATTAAAATTAATTAACAGTGCCTGGCTGGCTTAGTAGAGCCTATGACTCTTGATCTCAGGGTTATAAGTCTGAGCCCCACGTTGGGTGTAGAGAGTCCTTAAAAATGTTTTCTAAAAATATGCCGACGAGGGAGGCAAAGACAAAATAAGCAGGAAAAACAAATTGTTCTGATTTTATTTTTGAACCATGTTCTGTGTTCATTTGATTTAGAACAGAGAAGTGGTAGATTTACTGTTCTCATAACTTTTTTTTTCTTAAGTTGTTATTTTAACTGTGTAGACCTTCTCTTCCCTTCATTGTGTCAGAACCAGGTAATGGGGGAGAATCAATTAAATTTAAATCAGCTAGAGGTAATTCATTCTGAGTAATCCTATAGAAATATCCAGGAGTTGGTCTAATAACATCTTAACAGGACTGTACATCGGGTTACGGAAAAAAAACATGAATTAGGGTTTGTGAAATATGTGAAGATGTGGATTTTTGAGATTACAAGTGAGAGCTGATCTCCAGATGGTACAGTCTCTTGATCACTTTTCATATTTATTTTCCAGGTCCGGACCCTATTTGTCAGTGGTCTCCCTCTGGATATCAAACCTCGGGAACTCTACCTGCTTTTCAGACCATTTAAGGTACCTTTTTCCTTTCAGAAATTATAAAAGAAGACCAAAAAGTGTGTGTATAAATAAGCTTCATAGGGGCCTCTTGCAGGAAGAAATGGTATGTTTGAGAAAGCATCTTATAAAATGACCTTTTTTAAAAAGAGATTAGGAGCAGCCGCCCCGGTGGCTCAGCGGTTTAGCGCCGCCTGCAGCCCAGGGTGTGATCCTGGAGACCCTGGATCAAGTCCCACGTCAGGCTCCCTGCACGAAGCCTGCTTCTCCCTCTGCCTGTCGCTGCCTCTCTCTCTCTCCTCCCTGTGCATTCTCATGAATAAATAAATAAAATCTTAAAAGTAAAAATAAAAAAAGATTAGTTAGTAAAGGAGATTGAACAGTTTAATTCCAGTGTGCAGTCTCAGAAAAAACTGAAATTGCCTTTTGTCCTCCCCAGTGCTAAGCTAGAAAAGCCTCTTTCCTTACTAGTGTGGACATGCACCTGGCTTTGTTCCATGTAGAACAGCTTTGGGGTCCCCCCTGTTTATCATTTGCCAGTGGGAGTATTCTGAGGACAGCTCACCAAAAATACTTACCAATTACCATTATTTATATTTCTAGTGAAATAACAAGGCCTGTTCCTACAGGGTTTCTTATTGAAGTATTATTAATATCTTCTTTGCATATATAATAAGCATATATATTCTTATTTGCATATGTATAATTACACTTTCATGAACTAGACTAAGAACCCAACCACCATTACTTTCTCTGTGGGAAGAGTGTCCTAAATTTCAAACAAAGTAAAACAAAATTTTAAGGAGTTATGCTGGTACATAGTATAATACTTAATTCAGCTGCCTGTCAAGAACTGTTGAGGTAAAAATCACTTTAGAGATGGTTGATGTTGCTAGAATGGGAAACTTCATGGGAAATTGGACTAAAGCTGAAATTACCGTGCTGCCAAGGATGGTTGAAGGCCAGCCTGTGGAGAATACAAGAAAGCTGGGATTTGGTAGATTGTGGGCAGGAGGCCTAGGCCCTCTGGAGAGTACCCGGAAGTCCTGATAAATTAAGGGCTAGTGTCTGAGCTGGTCCCTGGAACAGGATAACAGCAATGCCTGGCAAAGGGCACGCTTAGGATTAGGTGGCAGACCATCTTGATGACTAAAGATTCATCCTGTTGAAGCAGTACCCCAGCCACAGAGGCAAGACCAGTTGAGGGACAGGAACTAGCTTTTCAGGCAGAGGGAGAGCAAGAGGTGACAGCTGAAAACAGCTGGGTAGGAGGAAGAAAGAAGGTTGAAGGGGCAGCCAGTTAAAAGCCAACAGAGACAGGAGTCTAGCTTATGTGCCAGGAAGGCACCATGTAATAATAGACCTACCTCTGTTCTAACAGCCATACCCTTACAGTAACAATGATGACAGTACAGAGGGAAACAGAAGGGTTAGACATGAGGTCAGCTGAGAGGAAGTGGGAAAGAAAGATGTTGTGGGGGAGCGTCAGCCTCATAGAATTTCCTGAGTATCTGCTGCAGGGTTGCCATTTGTACTGTCTGTCCCTTTCATAGGATGAGGAATTTATAAGCAAATTGATCTTATTGATGGACAAAATACTGTGATGTTTCTGTATGTGTATAGAGAGATTTAGCCAGCAAGCCCCTCGTGAATTATCCCATTTAATTCTCAGAACCCTTTGAAGTCAGTTGGCCTCTGTTTTTCAAATGAGAAAAAAAGAAACTTGGAGCAACTGAATAAATTTTGCTCAAGTTCAACCATAATTTAATGGCAAGGCTAGGGTTCAAACCCAAGCAATCTGACTTTGTCATCTGTGTTCTGAACTAGACTGTGCTACTACTTTTCTGTTTGTGACTAGAGAACACAGTATATTGCTACCATTGGTGGTGTACTTGAGTGAAATATCCATTTGTCCTCTGCCTCTGAAGCCATCAGGATGTTTAAACCTCCAGGTTTTTCAGAGGGAAAGAGTGCACACCTTGAAAAAGAAAGAGACAGGGCTGTGAATCATGACCTTTCTGGCCAGAAGAGCTCAAGGCCTTTGAGGTAAAATGTTTACAGTAGCTAATTGGTAACATAGTTCTCTGCTGGGAAAATACGAGGATGAATCAATCCAGCATCCTGCCTAGAAATCTCAACACTAGAGTCAGGACCCTGGTACATTCCTAACCACCCTCTTTAATTAAAGTCCCTGGAGGCTGACCCTAGTCTGCAAATCTGTCTTAGCACTGATATGTGCAGTGGTCAATCATGTCAAGTAGTGTTCTTAGTGTTTTTTCCCCTTGTGTCATCCATCAGTGCAAGCCACCAGCCATTGATTATTTTCAGAAATAAACACATTTTGTTATCCTGAGGAACCAGGAGGGGTCAAAAGAGGGAGTGAAAAGGGAGGGTTTCTATCCTCCTTGAGGATGAGCTGGAGTAAGAACCCAACAAGGAATTCTTTTATGTCTCCATTAGAGTAAACATGAAAACTGCTTTAATAAGTAAGCAAAATAACTCAATAGAATCTAGCATCAATACCTGGATAACTTTGCCTGGCGATTTTGAGATTTTTGAGTAATAAGTTCTACGTAGTACATTCTTAATGATTTAATGTTATTTTATAGCAAGTACATGACTAAGTCATTACACACTTATCTATCTTATTAATAAGTTTACTCCATTTTCCTAGTTCTATAAAAATGAAAAAGATCTGTTAAGAAGAACCCATTTTCCTACCATTTACAAATAAGGAAAATAAACCTAGATATATATATGTATAAATTTCAAGGTATGATTTGTTTTAGGCCTTAAGTTAGGAAGCATAGGCGCATACGTGTATGCGTGTATAAAATTTGCTTTCTCGGTTATGGCATTTGTAAGAAGAGTTAGTAGTCCTAACAGATCCCATTTTTACTTAAGATACTATTACAATTGCTTTTTTTTCCTAGTAATTGTTTTTTGTTCTAAATTTGGTTCTTAATTTTCAGGGCTACGAGGGTTCTCTTATAAAGCTCACATCTAAGCAGGTAAGAACCTCAAACTTGAATATAAATGGTCACTTCCATAATAAATTTGAATGGACTTTCGTCAAGAATGTTACTGGGTCTCAGCATTCTCTTTTTAAATTCTCATTAGGGTTTGATTTTTGTTGATTTAAAATTGTGAGGTTGGTTAGGAATTATCACAGGAAAATGATTCATAATTCTATTGTGTCCAGCCAGGATGTCTGAGACTGTCCCTGAGGAAGGCAAACAGCAAACGTAGTGCATCCAATAGGATTATATTGGGATTGCTCTGTATATTCAACAGAAATTATCTAACCCCCTTCCTGATTCTTCCTTTTTTTTTTTTTTTTAAAAAAAAAGTAAGGTTAAACAGACAAACTTTCACAATCAATGTAAGTATCTGTTGCTGAAGAATCATGCTGTGTTTCAAACTTCTAATAACCATAGGCCGAGTGCCAAGTCTAGAGTGGAGCACAAAATATGCAGAATGGAGAGTGGTAATCCATGACCCTGATAGTTTCTACAAGTTTCTTGAAGTTTTTTGGCTGTATGCTTCCTTCCCGCCCGCGCCACCCACCCCCCCTTGCTGAATATCTAGCATGCTCACATCTCAGTTACTTTTCATCTCTCAGTAAGGTGTTCTCTGATTCATCAGGAGTAAGCTAGGGTGCAAGCATCTTTCTGTATTAAAAGATGGAGTCCAAAGAGATTATCACCCCTCTCTGTTCAGAACAATTTAGTTTACATACCTAGTTAAACACAGGACTTTTTAAAGGTATCCTTTGGGAATTGAGATGGAAATGTTCATTTTATAATTTTGATCATGCAGTGAGAGTACAGGGCTTTTATCATTGTGTCATTGTATTCCTTGCACTTACAGTGTACCAAAAGGTGATTCGGTTCTCTTTCCATTTTAAAAGATGAAGAAACTGAGGTACAGTGAATTTGATTTAGGAAAGTAGAGCCTCTCGACCCAAGTTTTCCTCTATTCTCTTGTTCACTGCTGCTCACCTTCCAACCCCTTCTAGATTTTTTTTTTTTTTTATGATTCTCTAAATCCCCAGCTGTGCCCTTGAAGAACCACCCTCACAATCCCTTTTGATTCATGTTAGAAATTTGGCTAAGCCACTGCGTCATGATTCTTTTAAACTGGCTTTCTTATTTCTACCCATTGCCTGTGGTCATTTCTTTATCTTAGCTCTTCAGTTTGACATCACCTTTGATCCAGAAAAATAGATCTCTCCTGATTGGTTTTTTTTCTTCATATTTTTTTCTTTCCTCAGCCCGTAGGTTTTGTCAGTTTTGACAGTCGTTCAGAAGCAGAAGCTGCAAAGAATGCTTTGAATGTAAGTAGTGATATAATCATTCATGTTTCCTTGTGAGGTGGTGGGAGGCAATAGAACCTTTTTGGACCGGAAATCATATGGAGGGAATATGACTGCTCATTCTCCTAGGGATTCATCAATTTGCCATCTAAAGAGATTTTTCCTTGAATTATGGTCAGATGTGCAAACTACTGAATACTGCTTTGCTCTTCTCCAGCTTTTACTGTAATGTTCAAAATAACTAACAATGTCTTATTTCTAATTCAGCCTATTCACCACCCATGGTAATGTGAAGCTTAGTTTGGCCATCATTATACTCTCAAAGGCTAAGTCTAACCCAAGACTAGATCAAAATTTGGCTTTCCTTCTCTCATGAGTCTTCCATTTAGTTATGTGCATTTGTTTGGGTTATTTATTTAAGGTTATAGTTTTCATTCTCCTTGTTTTCCCCAAAGACATTCTGCATTGTGCCTATAATAAATGGTTCTCAACTCTCATTGAGTGTAGATAAATGTATTTGGTTTGTAGGCAACTTGTCTGCCATATATTGCCAGCTTCATTTTAGAAGATATTTTCCCCTTTTAGTATATTGAAAATGAAAAGCAAAACAATTTAAGGGGAACCAAGACTGAGAGAAGGTGAAGGGAGCAGAATTTGAGCTCCAGATACTGAGGGCTGACCTGAGGTGAAGGGTCTTAGTGAAAAGTTGGGCTCCATCTTGCTCCAGGCAGTCAGCCTAAGTGGCTATGAATAAGGATGAAAGTGGCCATCCAGGGTACTTCCCAAAAGGCAAGGGGCCACTTGACTGGTTGCAATCTGAGTGTCATGGTGTAGGCCTTTGTGTTGCTATGGAACCAATAGGTGCCCCTCCTGGCTGCTCCTTTGAGCTGCTGCTAAGGCTGACCATGCTACGGAGGGCTATAGGAGAGACCTGGTATCCTGGAGACTTGGAGGCCCAAAGGAAAAGGCCTCTCCAGAGGGGTCTGTTTATTCAGCATAATGGTGTAATTGTGACACAATCTTGAAAGGTTTTTGGTTTGGGGGGGGGGGGAGTACACACTCTCAGAAGAAATGATTTGCTTGTAACGGTTGGTTTTTCATGAATATCTTTGGAATCCTGGAGCTCAAAAGAGCTCAGGATTTTCCTACATTTGGATAAATAGCCTTCTGGTTAGAAAAACTACTTTTCTTACTCTTTCTCTTCCATGGAACAGAATATAAATCATTTATTTGTATACCAGTTGTATACTCTGAAGCACAGTTATAATTGAATATTTTGATATAAAAAAATTTTTTTTAATCATTACACAGATCTAGCTAGAATTTTCTCAGTGTAACCAAATTTTAAACTATCAATAAAACTAGGATTCAGGGGCACCTGGGTGGCTCATTTCGCTAAGCGTCTGCCTTCAGTTTAGGTCATGATCCCAGGCCCTATGTCCAGCTCCCTGTGCATCAGGATGTCCGCTTCTGCCTGTACCCCCTCTCCTTGCTTGTGTGCTCTCTCTCTCTCTCTAATAAAATCTTAAAACACTCCCTAGGATTCTATTCAGATAGTGGTTTTCTTTCATCCATACTAGATAGCAGGTTTCTAACTGCAGAACTATTCTGGGTTTTTCAGAGTTATGTTAGGTGAAGTTTTCACCACGTTCTTTTTTCATTGTTCTTCTAAAGGAAGTAGCAGCAATTGAAACTTGTTTACAGAATGGGCTCTCCCTGGCCTGCCTTGACTGTCTGAAAAACACTAGGCTTTTATAGCGACTTCTCTCAGCCGATGAAGTCAACTTTCCCTATGGGCTAGGGTTTGTGTTTTTGTTTTATAGAAGTTTGTTTTTAAACTGTTTAAATGGTCAAGTCCTAAACTGTGTTTCCTTGCCTCAGTAAGCAAGATATAGCAAACAATTTCCATTTTTCTTGGTGCCTAAGGGATTATATCAGTGCCAATGATCAGATTTTGAGCTCACAATACCATAGCATTAGAGGTGTTTATGTCCATCTCTATGCCAGTTAGCCCCAGATCGTTGTTTTCGTGTCCTGACATCTGGTATCTGGTTTTAGGTTCAGCTCTTCTTTTTCACTAGCAGTGAGCTTTCCTTTAGCAGCATCCCCTTCCTTAATCATTATTGTTCTTTGTTGCTCATGTACTAATAACTTGGGAAGAACTCCAGGTGAAACCGTTCAAATTCTGTTCTAGTCTGTGGACTTAAGGGTAACTCTTAATATTTATCCGTGAATTATTGAAACTGAGCTTCTGCTCAGAGGCTGACTCATGATTGTAGGGCATTTTTTGGCTCATGGTTGATTTCTTGACATTTTTAACTTTAATATATAAGATATTACAGGTCTTTGTACCTTATTAGAAACCATGCTATTGTTAAAATTCTGGGAACACAGAGCTGGAAAGTTTGGATGGCTCAGGAAGCATGGGTTTAAAGCTACAACTAAGAAGTAAGCCTTTTGCATCTTTTGCATGCCTATTTTGTACAACGTCTCACTATTTGCTTGGTCCATGAAATGTTGCTGCATTTTTCCTGGTGGCAGCGACAGATACTTAATTCATATTGTCCAGGACAAATGGCCATGCATGATAAAGTTTGGTGTATGTGACAATGGAGCAGAGTTTCTTTTCTCTCTAGAGAAAATGGGCCTGTTCAGGATAATGTACTTAAACATGAAGCTGACACATTTTCTCTATGACCCAACATATTAAGTAAGCTCTTTTCAGGGTCATATTTTCTAATTGGTGAATTAAAAACATACGATGCTCATAGCCATTACAAAATTTTCTCCTCAATATCATTTGTCCAGGCTGGCTTGCTTTGGCTTGCTTTTCTTTCTTTCTTTCTTTTCTTTCTTTTCTTTCTTTTCTTTCTTTTCTTTCTTTCTTTTCTTTTCTTTCTTTCTTTCTTTTTATTTATTTATTTATTTATTTATTTATTTATTTATTTATTTATTTATTTATAAAAAGATTTTATATATTCATGAGAGACACACAAAGAGAGGCAGAGACACAGGCAGAGGGAGAAACAGGCCCCATGCAGGGAGCCCAACGCGGGACCCGATCCCCCGTCTCTAGGATCACGCCCTGGGCTGAAGGCAGTGCCAAACCGCTGAGCCACTCGGGCTGCCCTCCAGGCTTCTTTTAAAAACTTTTCCTCACATTCTTTTGGGGAAAAGTTCCATGTTGTAATGTTTTGTTTTATTCCGTTATTGAGAAACTAAAGCCTCAATCCAGTAAGTCCCTCTGTATAGAATAGTTGACATGTTATGTTATGAACTGCTTCTCCATGCTTCTTTTTGTTATTTCTCTGTCTTGGTTACTGGTTCAGTTATTAGTATTAATAATTAGTCTTTTCCTAAATTACTGTTTTTTTTAACGTTTTTTTCCATTTTTGGATTATGCTTCAGTCTATTTGATAATTTTATGGAAAAACCTGCTCAGATTGAATTAAGTGGTAACATTGAACTTTTATCACGAGGTTACTTAAATCTTCTAAAGTAAATACAGTATATTTTGTTTTTTCAGCAGAACCTCCCAAATTAAAAATAGCCCCAACCCAGACTTCCCTTCAGGTTATCTATGGTCCCATTAATCCACATGATTAGAAACCTCATTCATTCTTTAACCTGACAACAAAATATCTGGCCTATCCTTCACCCTTCATACACATTTGTAATTTCCATACTGGCAGTTTTCTATTTTCCATGCTAATAAAGGGGGTGTTCATTATGCAAATAATCCAATTTTTAGGATTTGTTTATAATTTTGGAATGTAAATCAAATATGATGAGTGATATTGAGAGTTAGCCTAGTTTAGTAAAAATTTGTGGAAATTTTCAAAAGAAACGAAGGAAATAGAGTAGATATAAGGGTAAAGACCCTGAGTAGAAGTAAGAATAAACCCTTGGCTTCCTACCAACAGTCAAGACCCTAATATTGCTACTGTTGCCTAGCTGAAATCTTGTAGTAAATAAGAGTGATTTGTAGTTAACACTTCAAATTAACAGGCTTGTCATGGTCCTTGTGTAAGTTTCCATTGTAGGCATTGTCTTACCTTGGCATTTGGGAATCACTCATCTAAAGTCCAGTTGACCCTTGAATGTTGCAGGGGGGCTAACTACTCCCTGAAGTGAGGGGGGTGGTGGATTCCAGTCAAACACACATAAAACTTTTAATTCCCCCCGAACTTAATAGCCTGCTGTTGACCAGAAGCTAGTCAATTATGCATATTTAACTCCTTATATATGTTGTATATTGTATTTTTACAATAAAGTAAGCTAGAGAAAAATGTTAAAAATCTTGAGAAAATACATTTACAGTACTGCATTTATTTAAAAAATCTTTATGGACAGCATTGTGCAGATCCATGTTCAAGCATCAGCTGTACTTTGAAAGGTTATGTGTGATCTCTGGAGTGAGTATATGTGCCGTTTTGTTTGCGATTCTTCTTCCCCTAATTTTAAATAGTTGTTATTGGGCTAGGTTTTATCATACAGTGTATTGTAAATTATCAGAATTAGAGAAGTCTGATGTTTGTTTTTTTAAGGATTTTATTTATTCATGAGACACCTACAGAGAGAGGCAGAGACACAGGCAGAGGGAGAAGTAGGCTCCCCTGCAGGGAGCCTGATGAGGGACTCAATCTCAGGACCCCGGAATCATGACCTGAGCCAAAGGCAGACGTTCAACCACTGAGCCACCCAGGCGCTTGAAAAGTCTGATGTAATCAAACTATGTACATCGCTACAAGTTGCCTTCACAACTAAACATTGCCTGCATAAGCACAGTGATTTGCTTTACTCTCAAATTCGATAGACTCTTTGATTTAAATCTATCATTGCAACCCCTACTCCACTGGATTCTTTTTAAAACTTTGAGTTTCAACTCACATACCATATAACCCATTTAAAGTGTGCAATTCAATGGTTTTGGTATTACTTTTTAAATTATATACTAAAAAAATTTGCCATTTTAATGATTAAGTGCATAATTCAGTGGCATGAACTACATTCACCATGTT